TTGCTGTTCGGCTACCTGCTTTCCGGACCAACACTCACTGGTGAAGCTCGATCATCACGAGTGCAAACTTTCCACATCACCGTGTTGCCTTCAACCCAGGACCAACTAGAAGCATTGGGATTTGGAAGCCATCGGTATACGTGACGCGATAACCGCTTCGAACGAACTCACTAACAATCAAGAGCAGTATAAACAATACATTGAAAATTGTTTATCACAACAAGATGGCAGATTCATCGCTAAACTACCATGGAAGGCGAATCACAACCCTCTGCCTACAAACTACAAGTCGACAAAGAAACGTACACGTAACATGATCCACAAATTACCATGTGACATTGTCAGTATTTACGATAAGGTAATTTCTGACCAACTAAATCATGGATTCATTGAAGAAGTCACCAACGACAACATTTCCGTCGGACACTACCTGCCTCATCGTTCGGTAAAACGTAACAGTGCCACCACACCAATACATGTAGTATATGACTGCAGCGCCGCGACCGGAAACGAACAACCAAGTCTCAATGACTGCCTAATCATCGGTCCTCCGCTTCTAAATAACTTGACTTCAATACTACTGAGAGTCAGATCGAACCCTATCGCATTAACTGCCGATATAGAAAAGGCATTTCTGCAAATACGAACACGATCGTAAGTACACCAAATTTCTATGGCTATCGGACAGTAACGATGTGAATAGTCAGTTCAAGACGTATCAGTTCAGTTCAGTCTTATTCGGGGCGACATGCAGCCCATTCATCCTCAATGCTGCCATCAAAACACTTACGGATGACAACATTGAGATTTCAGCTGCATGCAATCTCCAACAAAACATTTACTTGGATGATGTAATCACTGGTTGTAATAGTTCAGATGACGCTGCTCAATTCTATAAAGAATCAACGGACCTCCTCGCTACACGTCATTTTAATTTACGTTCTTGGAGCACCAATGATCCAACTCTACGGGATGCCATAACCAGTAGCCATCGAGCGAGCTCAACAACCCATGTCAACATTCTCGGACTGAATTGGAATTCGAAAACTGACCAGCTCAACGTAAAATCACTTGAACCACCGAACTTTGGTCCGCTCACATCGAAACGTGACGTTGTTGGTTATGCCGCCAGCCTCTACGACTCGCTTGGCACCAGTACACGTAAAAGACAAATTATTGATCCAACAATTATGGAAATCAAACCATAGTTTGGATATGCCTATTTCAACGGAACTGTTGCCTGTCTGAATAAATATCGCCAATGATTTATTTCAAGTCACAAATCGAGACATCAATCGCCAATATTTTGCTGACACGGACAACAATAACATTGAAATACATGCGTTTTCCGACGCTTCAGACAAGGCTTATGGTGGGGTAATTTATATCACAGCTGAAGACGGTCAAACTGCGCTAGTAATGGCCAAAAATAAAGTTGCGCCGATCAAAAAACAGACATTGACATTACCGCGTCTGGAGCTGATGGGTGCTGTCATAGCAACGGAGACTAAGTCAGTTTGTATCGAATGCGTTATCAACTAAATACAACATCACCAAACGCATACTATGGTACCGAATTCACAGATTGCCTTACATTGGTTGAATAATCGCGGCAAACAAGATCTATTTACCCGAAACCGAGTCAGCGA